CATTTGGCTTCGATTTAGCGGGGGTGAGCTGCGAGGGGAAAAAAGCGTATTTCACCAAATCGATTTTTACGCCCCACCGACCGATTTCGACAGTGCAATTCGACAATGCTCCCCAACCCTATTCCACATCTACACTCGCAGCTCCCATAACCCTGCGGCACCAAACTCCGGGCTGAGTCGACAAAGATTTACTCTCTTTAGATACAATAAAATTTTACAATTTCACTTGTATTAGTATATAGGTATATATAATACAGTTGGGCGCTGCAGAGGGCTCAAGGAATGACCCACAGAGCAGCTCGCATTCCGAACTACACGATATACGGGGCTTAAGTCTCGAAGCCAAAAATCCGATGGTTGATATCACCGCATGAAATTCAATGTGTTTTCGTTAACCTCGACTTACTCACGTATACTATTATATATATACCTATATTATAACCATAATATCGCGCACGTGTAAGTGCATAGTCTGGAATATATGTATATTTATAGCACACTCATACAATATAGGTATATCTAATAATGTTGATACGAAAATATATTATATGAGGCGTAATTAAGCGTAAAAGTCGTGTGCATTCAAGCATCTCGCTTTCCCTTCGTATACATATGTATATGTAATATATAGGTACAAATGACTGTACAAGAATATAATATGTTAACGTTCGACAACGTGCGACCAACTGTACATAACACGTACTATATAGTCTACACATACCTATACACCTATATGATGTGCTAATAATTCACGTTTGTCCAAAATAACGTGTTAGAAATCAAACAATCTAGTTTCACGACTAATGAAGTGCACTGACCACAAAATCAAATATTAATATATAATAACAAAAAGTACTAAATATAAATAAAAACACGATATTTTAGTCTCTTCAAATTTTGACTATTTTCTTTATTTTTAAATTTCATTTTTATTTTTATTTTACACATAATTATAAATCTGTTTCAATATTAATAGAATATGATCCTATGTAGTATGTATATAGAAAATATGGAAAATATAATACGTGATATTCAAGTGCAATCAACTAGACGTTGCGATAGTTTCTTTACTTTATTTTACATTTTTTTTTAATAATAATAATATTATGTGTAATTTGTTATTTTTAAACGTGATAAAAATTAATTAATAATTAAAAAATATTTTTCATAAAATTAGTTGATTAATAGAACCAAAATGAACTGTACCAGTGATGTTCACACAAAATGGAACTCGCTGTATAATACATTATATAGTTGTATAAATTTAAGTACAATAGCTGTTTTAAGCATTTAACGTTTGCATATTAATCTTTCGATGATAAGTCATAATCTCATTAGAAATTTTACACAAATGACATAATTGTGTATTTTCACACTTTCAAAGTATTGTTAAAATTCTATTTGCCATTAGTTAATAATATGTGGCAGATCATATTATACATATTATACTATTATACGTTCGTATACGTTAGTTCGTACGGTTTTTATTCAGTGCGTACATGGGTTGATTTTTAATGTAGATAAGTCAAATAATAAAATATTATTAAGTTAAAACGAAATACACAGATGCATGAAATAGCGCATCGTACATAAAGTGATTCATATGACATTATAAGCACGTGTTAATTGAGCTAAAATCATTAAACTTTATTATCGAACTACTCCCAACCTAATTAATATTCAGTACGCCTTTATCTGATCAGCAGATTTTTTTTTACTTAAAAGACTGTATTTGCATGTATGCTGCAACGCTATCGTATTATAAATATCTACGAGTTTTCGAGTTCTTGAGAGTTTACAAGTCATTTTACATTTTTAATTTTAACGGTTTCACTTCCATAAAAGTGTTGGAAATATATGATTATAGTCATATAGAGTTTTCGGAAAGTTGATTGTGTGAACTGTGCGTAAATAATTTACTGGTACGGTACAAACGCATGGCTAAGGATTGGGGCGTCAAGCCGTCTGGCGTCTACCCTTCTCCAAACGCAATCCGTAACAAAAAGTTAGGGTCGGTGCAGCTCGTGCTCGGAATCAAAATACATACTTTGGTGCACCCTTACAATATAATAATCATCATCATGCATTACACCGATTAAAAGGGAAAAAATTAGTGGGCTTTTAAAGAGAATTTAAAAAATAACAGCTAATATTAAGCTTAAACTATATTATCAGGCACTTAATAAATAAAACTGCAAAACAACTCTTACATGGATAATATTTCTACCAGAAGTACTACTAACTGAGAATTTTCTATTGTTTACCGGATTAAAGTCACAAATACCCGTTTACCATCATACTTGATAATTTTGATAACCATATCTGTACAATTTATTAAGGTCTGTTTACTTTGAACATGAAAATATTATTTTAACAGAATACCCTTTATAATTAATAGAAATCGGGAATGGTAAGTACACAATAAAACAATCAATAAAATTGCTTAACCTATATAAATTACAATGATTGTTTATAATTTAACTAATTTTTATTTGCATGAAATAATAATGCTACTTCATATAGTATTACAGTCGATGACGAACAACGGGTAACACTAGTTCGGTACTTAAGTGAACTACGGTACGCATTTTCCATAAAATCTTTGTTATTATAGTCCATTATGTATATATTGTATTAATTACAAGCTTAAATCTAGGTATAGTAATTTACAGGTATTTATTTAACATAAATACAAAAATGTAAGCTCGAGTTCATAAAACAGTTTCATGTGCAGAAACTTTAAGGTACAATGGTATTTTAGATATTATTTTTTTTCTAATTGTATGATTCATAATTCATAAAATAGCAGTAACCTAAGTGAAAATTATCAAAAGTTGCAAAATATTACAATAAGATAGATCATGAATAAATTCATATTTGCTAACAAATGTGTAGCTTATTAGGCAATGGAAATTTAAATTAATAATAAAAAAAAAAACAACATAAAAATAAAATATTTCTTGAGCTCTAATAATCACGTTAAGTATACTCGTACTTATGCCATATTATTACATTAATATAGTTATAATAAGTGCAACATTAATATAAATTCTGTAAATCACAATTATTATTATGCTTTTTTTAAAATAAACCATAGATAATATGGGTAAACCAATGGTTATATGTATATATTAGAAATTATAATATGTTTGATATGTTATTGTTTTTAACGTTGCATAGTATATTTACCGGCATTTTTATTAAGAATTGTTAATGATTTTAACATTTTTGGGACAAACACTCAAATCGTAATTTGTGTTATAAATAATTACTTGAATTATTTTTTGGAATTGTTAGGAGCAAAGATTCTCAGTAGATTTTAAGTAAGCATTTTGTATCTATTTAAAAATATAATTAGTGTATTGTAACATTTATTTAAAAATAAATCTTTTTTATAATACCAAAATACTTTATTTATGATATTAAAAAAAAATGTACTGGCGTAAGTTATTTGTTAGTAACTAAAAATTTGCATTTTTGGTTATATAACAACTATTATTATGAAAGTAGTAAGTACTAGGTACTAATAGTACCCATACATATTTAATTTAAATCTTAAATTCCAGGTATACGAAATTCTGATTAAAAGGCACCAAAGAATATTGTGATTAAAAAATATATATAAATATACATTTATCAATCTGTTCAAAATGTTACATAACATTACTCAAAAGATGTAATAATAATAAACTTATAGTTATCAAAATAGAGTAGCTTATTAAAATAACACTTATGTAAAAATTACAAACGTGCTATTATCGTCGAGATAATACAAGTAAACTAACAAAATATCAAAAATATTTGTATTTATTTGATAATATAGATTAACGCAACTACTGGACATAGTAATTGTTATATACAAATATAACACGTTATTCGTCTTGTACCCGATTCGTATTACACTGCCCACAAACTTGGATGAAAACCTATTTTATTGATTGCATATAAATAGTAAACGCCTATTGTATTTACACATTAATATATTAATATTTACAATAATGATCGTCGAAGATTATCTAAATACCACGAGATTAAAAGTCGCCTAGACATTCTTTAATTATTTAATTTAAAAATCAAAACAAGTCAAAAAGTGGCTTAAACTTAGTGCACACGACGAAATAATTATTGGTGGTATGTGGATTAATAATTAGTTGGATGATCAATAAGACACTAGACGCAAATAAACGAACATTTTCAACTGTTTTGAGGGTTAGTATTTTATATAATTATTTTGTAACTATTGTTATATTATAATATCATATTAATAAACGAGTGCAATAACGTTTTATAGATTGTAGAACAATAATCAATGATGGACATAAAATAATAAAATGTTCAATAAGACTCATTGTTAACTAAACACCGATGTCCGATAGGAAATGCGTAAATAGAGATCCCCTATGGTCGTCTAATCTTAAATCTTCAAGTTTTTTAAAAACTATTTGCACATCAATTATTGCTGCGAGGGCTCGGAGCATATATTAGCATACCCGTTGGTATTGTTCTGCGCGTCACGAGATGTTGTTAAAAGGCATCCGCCAAATGGCTTTTTTTTTTAAATTTCACTTGGCATCAAAAACCCGGAAAACCGCGAAACGCAATAAAAAAAAAAAAAAAAAAAAAACAGGATCCGTGGTCGTCTTTCGTTGTGCAAAATATTACTATTTTTGTTACGTATATATTATATTAATTCTCGCACTGCGGTGTATCCGAAGATTCGTGGACCATTCGTTAGACGACTATTCCTAACAAAAGATATGATCTGGTCAAAGTACTGCTACGAATTAGCGTTACCGTTCCTATACCGCGGTCACAAACCAAATCGTGTCCTGCACCCGTCAGCGACCGAATACCATGGGCTTCGGTTCTGAGCAATGAGCATGTACCGACATAATAATATATTATTATACGTCAGTATTACATTATAATATTATATAGGTACGATATTGAGACCATAACAACAACAACAACAAAAACGTTAACAGAAAATCGCCACTCACGTTGTCCGTCTCGGCGATACGTTCCGGCGGCTTCGGCTTCGGCGGCGGCGGCGGCAGCGACTGCTGCAGCAGAGTCCCGCGCGTCTCGGTCGTGTCGCGATGCGCGCGCGTCCGTCACGTACTGAAAAGCGGCGGCGGTAGACTCGCTCGGTAGCCTTTTATCCACCTTCCCGCAGGCCGCGTCACGATCACCGCCGTAACCCACCCAGTCGCGGCGGCACGACCACCCACCCGCGCCAGACTGTCTCGCGAAGCGGCCGTTGCATGGCACGCGCGGCGCTATACAAAGCCACGCGTAGCAGCGTAGTGTATGTGATCGGCGGCGGCTGTAGCACGTAATACGCAACCTACCTGCCGCCGCCGCCGCTTCCAACGCTACAAACGTTGCCTCCACCGCCGCTGCCGCTGCCAAACATGCGCCATTCCGTCTATATCAAGTCTTCTACTACGGTGCACACTACTACTACTACTACTACTACTACTACTACTACTACTACTACTACTACTACTACTACTACTACTACTACTACTACCGTTGTATATAGGTACGTATACTGTATATGCGAGCGCACGCGCATCAGAGCACAGTCGTACCGAACCTATATACATTCGATATAGTACGCGAGTATATATTATGTCCGTAGGTATATTATGTACTCGTATAGTAATAATGATAATAATAATAATAATAATAATAATAATAATAATAAAATATTATGTACTCTCTCGCTCTGTGATTTTTTACTCGCCGTGCAATTGGCGCACGCGCGTACATCGTAGTAACCGAACGATAAGCAGGATAATAGTATTATGCGATAATATTATACGTAATACCAGTATAGACACCGCGGTCAGAGGATCTTCTCAGTAATCTTTGCTATTATTTTGTCATACTAGTTTAGGGGGGGGGGGGTTAAGGATATAATATCACACGAAGAAAAATCTGATGCTATTAATGTACCCATATACGCTCAAACACCGTGATATATGGATTTATATAATAAATAATTGTTATTTTTGTTCGTAAAAGTGTAGTTGTTGATCAATAACGGCCGGCTGTCTGAAATTTTTTTTCAAATTATTATCGCTTACAATGTAAAAAAATATATATACATAATATAAACGTAGTCGCACTACGTGTATTTACGAACATCTCTAGATTAACGAGAGGGTCATTATAATAGGGAAATAATTAACTGTACTCTAGCATATTAAGACCTATGTAAAAACCCAGTGCTCTCCGTTAATTTTTTTTTTTTATGACAATGAAAATTTTTTATGCGTATTGCGTGACGATGACAACAACGACACCCACCGACGAACTTGCGCGCCAACGTATAGGTCAGCGTCGCGCGGGTGCACGATATCGTCAGCCGTAGCTGCTGGGCTTATTGCCTTTTCGCTCGCCGCTGTCCGGAGATGGGTCGCATGGCTTATTTCCGTTTTTACGGGACCGCGGCCGCCCGGAACAATAATGGCTGCGCTGACTGAATTTCTCGTATATGTACCCGTAGAGAAGTATGCGCAGTTGTCCCACCCCCACCCCACTCACTTCACCGACATTTATTTCAAATAGATTGTGAACAATTGTAAATTCGTTGCACCATACATTTAATAATATGATATTTCCAAATAATAAATTCAAGAAATAAAAATAAATTTAAAAGGATGAAGTTCATTCGTACTTTCAGCCAGATTGTCCGCAATAGATTTCAAAACAATTGTACACAACAATTGTAGATAATATATGTATTATATTTGTTTTATTATCACTAGCATGCGTAATAAATAATAATTATTTTACTTTGGGTGTTATGTGTTATAGTATAGGTAATATAATCAATGTTCGGGACTTAAGACTTTGCACAAGTATGTAGGAGATGGAGTTGTTTGTACACCATTGCCGTTGTAAATAGGTACATGGTATCTTGTGAAGATAGTCCAAAAACATATATTATGGTAATTAATAATAAATTTAGGTAGTTTTGATTTATGTGATATCATAATTATTAATATTAGTGTGCCCTTGATTTAAATACAACGTGCAATATATCGTGGTAACTCGCTACCCTCTAGATAAATGTAAAATCTCAGATTATCGAACAATAAAAATAAAAATTTAATTTTGAAACAAAGTTGACTGTTAATCCATACAGTAACTTATTAAGGTTTAACATTCAACATTTCTATTTGTCTTGAATAGGTAACATAACTACGTTAAAGCCCATATTCTATACACAGACATCACTATACCCATTTTTTCAAATAATAAAATACAATTCACTCGTGCATTATAAACATTATTAAATTTAAACTATTCCTAGTAAGGAAACATTATGAAAGTATTCTATCTCAATTTTACGTTAAATGAAACGGTTATAAACTAGACGTGTTGTATTATACAGATGTTACTTATGCGGTCTAAAACGGAGTAGTGAGATTTCATAATAATCATAAAAATTCACCTATGTGTCGTGTGACTTGCGTATTTTATTTTAGAGATACTATATCACATTCATATATTTGCCTGCAGATAAAGGTACAATGTGTTTTAATCTTTAAATGTATCTAGTATAATAATGTTATAATTAAAAGGTATTTGTACATATTCGATAATCTATAAGACGATTATTTCTTGAGCATTTTCGCTACAACGGAGTAAAATTTTTCATTCAAAGGTTACTGCACTATTAGAACATTTAAAATTATAAAAAATTCTTATGGATGATAATAATAATTAATAATATAAAGTATCAAGTAACCATATTACTTATCGCTTGTTAAATATTATACTATTATATATTATTCAAAATTTAAATTTGTCATACTTGTTGAATATTTTAATGTTTATACTTAATGCTAAAATTTATAACTGAAACAATGGTTGAACATATTAGTTTAATCATACTTAACATAATTAGATTTAAATGTACTAAAATGTAATTAGTAATAACTATTATAATAATGATTTTATATGATTTTTTTATTTTTTAATAAGAAAAATTTATTTTAATTTTTTTTTATTTATATAACTTTTAAAAAAAGTGAACATGTGGCATTTCAGGTACATGAAATTACTAAAATTGTAAACAACTTTATGTAGTCTGAAGAGCCTGTCAGCTCACGAGTCTCGGTCGCGACCAGCTGTCAGTGTATTATATTACATTTGACACCTAAATGTGGGTTGGATTTGAATAATGATCGATCAGTCAATTTTATTATTAATATTACAACAGTTTTATTAAAATATATAATTATTATTACTAAAACAAATTAGAAGGAAATTTTAAGGTACTTGAATAATAAAATACATCAATATATTACGTTTGGCTCAAAATATGTATATACTTGCCAAGTATACGTATATTTTCCCGATTATAAAGAGCTGTGTATAATGAGTATTATATTATATTTTATTAAAATTTTTAGATAATTTAGTAAACGGTTATTCGATCCCGAAACACAAATTTGATACTGATTGGATTTCGAACTATTTTAGACAATACATTACGATCAGTTGTGTCCCACATTTATTACTATAATAAACTAGTTGAGAGATTGATCCCAAATTTTGTATAGTAAATTATGTTTATCATAAAGTGACAGTCGACATACTCAACGGTGATCAATAGCCGAGCTGTTAATAAAATAAATTTACTATGATCGTGCAATACAATACTTAATTGAAAATTTCCAGATAACACACATGTCATATACATATTATTTGTGCACATATAATATATAATAAAATATTTAAAAATGATTAGATTGAAAATATGAAACGTATGCATTCATTCAAATTGAGTATTTATAATTGTATAATTAAAATATGAAGTGTTTATGGATTTTATTTTACTTTATTTTTTATTTGTTTTATAATTTAATAGCTTAAGTTATATGTTAATATAAAAAACTATTAAAATTTATAAAATAGTGTTAAATTCAAAATTGAAACTTTTGACATTTTTATAATATTTTGATGATGAATCATTAAAATATCATATAAGTTATAGAGCAGGGATCGACAACCCACGGCCTGCAAAGCAATTTTTGAGGCCCGCACAAAGGTGGTTAATTTTTGTGTTTTATTTTTGTTCAATAACATTTTTCATATAATTTTCAATATTATATAATTTTTTTTCCTTTACAAATAAAATCTAATCTAACTGTTTCATAATAGCAATACAATTATAAATATTATATCATAATATGTAATTTTTTTTTTAATGTGGCCCTTGATGAACAATTGAAAAAAAAATGGCCTGCGTGGTTAAAAAGGTTGCCGACCCCCTGTTATAGAGTTTGCGGACAAAAAGCATTTAATCAACAATGTTTAAGATAGTAACACATTTTTCTATGTATGTATTTTTCAAATAAATAATCAAGTGGTGAGGACATTTTTTTTTAAACATAATACTTGTACATTAAATATTTCTGTTTTTTATTTTTTATGCTAAAAATTATTAACTTTTTCACTTAAATCCATGATGCTAATATAACTAAGAACAGCGTTCAGATAATCAACATTCGTCATAATGTACTTAAGTACTTTTATATGAAAACATAATATTTAATGGTCATTTATTTTTAAAAATTAAATAAAATAATTTTGGTTAGGTATGTATTATTATATTCTATTCCATAATAATAACGCAGACTTGGTAGTGAATAAAATAATAATTCAAATAATAGAATAAAATAATCTCAATTTTACCTGTACAGTATTTTGTTAAAGGAAAGGTTGCACTATTTCCTTTTTCCTTTTTTATTTATGGCGAAGGTTTCACAACTGTAGTGTCGGTTGCCAATTTTTATACTTCTCACGTAGTCACGTATGACCATATATACAATAGCTGCTTTCCAGATCTTGAAAATTATGTGTCCCATTTCCACGTAATTAATATTTATACACTAGCCAGTGCTAATATATTGAAGTTAAAATACTTTTGTGTAGATAGAGAGGTACATATATTACCTGAAATAAAAATATTATAGGTACAAATACTTCTGTATTATAATTTTTGAAAAACAGCTGACAACTGTAAATATTCTTTATTTTCTACCTCACACTCAAAATTAACACCAATATAAATTACAAGTATAGGTATGATTTAAAATGTCCAGTATTAAAAAAATAAAATAAATTTGGGATCCCTATACCTATACTTGTAATTTATATTGGTGTTAATTTTAGGAAGGGGTGAGAGAACTTATGTAAGCAATTAAAATATTAAAAAATTAAATATGAGATATTTGTCATACAAATTCATTGTAAACATTTGATTGCTAAAATTACATATTTTGGCTTTGTTACAAACATTTCATTTTCCTCACAATTACTAAATATTCTATAAAATAAA